GTTCTTTAAGTTCACAGAAGTTTCTTACTACCCACCTTCTGAAGTCTGATTCTGTCATTTCATCACACTCGTTCTCCCTCCAACTTTGTTCCCTTGCTGGTGAGGAGTTGTGATCCCTTTTAGGAGGAGAGGTGTTCTGGTTTCGGGTGTTTTCATCCTTTTTGCGCTGGTTTCTTCCCATCTTTATGGATTTATCCACCTGTCGTCTTGGTAGTTGCTGGCTTTCAGATTGGGTCTCTGAGTGGATGTTCTGTTTGTTGATGATGAGGTTATTTCTGTTTCTTGGTTTTCCTTCTGACAGTCTGGCCCCTCTGCTGTAGGTCTGCTGAGGTCCACTCCAGGTGCTGCTTGCCTGGGGATCACCTGCAGCAGCTGCTGAACAGTAAGGGTTGTTACCAGTTTTCTTCTGCTATCTTTGTCCCAGAAGGATACCCGCCAAGTGTCAATCTGATCTCTCCTTTATGAGGTGGCTCTTTGGATATACAGGGGTCAGGGAGCTGCTTGAGGAGACGGTTTCTTCTTTATAGGAGCTCAAATGCTGAGCTGTGAGCTCCATTGTTCATTCAGAGCTGCTGGGCAGGTACATTTAGGTCTGCTGCAGCAGAACTCATAAACTGCTTTTTGTTCCCAGGTGCTCTGTCCCAGGGATTTGGGGCTTTATGAGTTTCGGTTATGCTGCTGCCTTCTTTTTTTTTCCCTTCAGAGCTGCCCTGCCCAGCAATGAGGCAGCCTCGTCACTGTCTGCCTGTAGAGGGTTTGCTGAGCTGCTGTGGGCTCCGCCCAGCTGCCGAGTGAACTTCCCTGCAGTCCTGTTTATATGGGTGTAGTTAGAAGTGCCTTGGCAATAGTGGCCTGCTTCTGTTGAAGCGGAGTCTCTCTGCAGTGGCGGGTTGCCTTGGCAACGGCGGGCTGCCTCGGTAATGGCGGACGCCCCTCCCCCACATAGCTGGACCGTCCCGGGTTCAGCTGCACTTGCTGTGAAACTCAATCCAGAGAGTTTCTGATTGCTGTTCTTTTGTGAGGGCGGGACCAGCCAAGCCTGATCGCTGGCTCCCTGCCTCAGAGCCTTTTTTAAGTTGGTGTTCCAGTCGCCTGTTGAAGAGGCGCCGGGTCTGAGTGTTTTCCCCTGCGGCAAGTCACTGCGCTGGCTTAAACAGCGGCACTGAGATTTGTGGTATTTTTTTTTTGCCCTGGAACCTACTGTCCTGGTTCCCTGCTCAGTCCCCTTTTTAAACAGATGTATGGGCGACTTCCCGTGGCTCCAATTGCTAGCCAAAGGGGCACCCGGACCAGTGTATTTTGTACGGAGAACCGCTGCTCTGGGGCACCGGCAAAGCAGCCGCACGGGGCAAAGCAGCGGCGCCGGCTGGCACAGCCGCGCTGGCCGAAACAGCCGCGCTGGCGACCCGTGGAGCTCCTCCACCTGGGAATTTCCTAGTCTGTGGGCAATAAAAATGCGGCGTCCACTCACCCTCTGCGCTTTCACTGGGAGCTGCAATCCTGAGCTGTTCCTAAACGGCCATCTTGGATCGATCCCCCTTTTATTTTTATTTTTATTTTTTGGTTGAGACAGAGTCTCTCACTCTGTCACCCAGGCTGGAGCGCAGTGGTGCAATCTTGGCTCACTGCAACCTCCACCTCCTGGGTTCAAGTGATTCTGCATCAGCCTCCTGAGTAGCTGAAATTAAAGGCACCCACCACTGCGCTCAGGTAATTTTTTTTTTTTTTAATTTTTTGTGGAGATGGGGGTTTCACCATGTTGGCCAGGCTGGTCTCAAACTCCTGACCTTGTGATCTGCCTGCCTCAGCCTCCCAAAGTGCTGGGATTACAGGTTGAGCACCACAGCTGGCCAGGCTTCACTCTTTGATGTGACACTAAAATGTTGCTGTGACAATTGGCATTCAGCTAAGATGCGAGCTGCCAGCTGTGAGTGATGTGCTGTAGGAAAAAAAAAAGAGGACACTGGCCACCAGAAGAGGGGAAGCGGGAGTGCTCTAGCCCAGTCCTCAAGGAGGAGAGAGTCAGAGGAGAGAGTCACTGCTTTAAAATGCAAGTAGCCAAAAAGATAGCACCCTATTCAACCACTTTTGTAGGAGAGTGAAAGTCTACTTAAAGCAGGCAACTGGCTTCAAGCTGCAAAACTGCCTTCTGTCGTGAACTTGTGAAAAGCTTATTTTGTCATTGATATAACCAATTATTATACATGGATGGCCTCCCCAAGGACTAGGTGAATTTAGAATGAACTATGTATGACACAGTACTGTAAATTCTACTTGTGAACTAATTATGATAACCGTCTTTCTTTCTTTTCTTTTTCTTAAGCAGACTGACTGTAATACATGTGACATCCAGATTTAATTGTGTAATGAAACAGTTTTCTTTCTGTTCTATTACTGTGGTTTCTCTGGGGCTGAAAATATTTTTTAAATTGTATTTCCCAAACAGTGTAGAATTAGCAGGCATAATATAAACACATAAGATGTCAACCAAGCTTTAGAGCAGACTTTCCCTCTCAGGCTTCCAGTCAGCTCACAATGACACCGTAAAATGCAAGCTGTCACCTAAATATGCAAGCAGAATTGTGTCTCTGCCTAATTCGTATCTATAACCCTCTACAGTCACTTCTAAAGGGGCTAGACCCGATTTCTACAATCTATATAGGGCAGATATTAATCATTTTACTTCTTTTAGTGACTCTTGTATCTTAAGACCCGAAACTGATTCAGAGACTGTGGAGCCCAGAAACACAATCAGAGTAACACGTGTGCACTGAATAGACATGGAGACATGAGAATCTCCACTTCTCTTTCCCTCCTCTCGCGAAAATGTTCACAATTTCAGGTAACACTTGCTCTAAGACGTTAAAATAAGAGTGCAATTATGTCCTTCTCCTTCCTTTAAACTCTGTATTCATCTCTTGAAACGGTTCACTATTGCCACAAGTAGGTATAAGTTAAGCTAATAATGTCACACTAGGCACTTAATTTTATACCCTTAGCTTTAACCAAGGTAAATTTTATACCTGTACTTAACTACATTGTTATGTACAGTCCATCAATAATTGAAGTTATTTATTTAAATAAGAATTTCTCACAAACATGTTTGTATCAGCCCACTCTCTCTCTCTCTTTTTTTTTTTTTTGCCTTCGCAAATCCACTTGTAACTGCTGCTAATCAAAGTGTAGATTCCAGGTATTTTGAATAGAATATTTCCTCTCAAGTTACAGTAATTAAGCTTGGCCCAAATAAACTGCCTACTTTTCTTCATATCATATTGTGTCAGCTTTTTTTAAGGTAAAATATTATTTAGAATTTTCTAGAGCAGCCTCTGTGAGTATATCTCTCCTTTGATTATACTCTACTTGCTGTAACAGCCAAAACTGCAGAATGATGTTGATTTTATCTAGAATCTGCAAATAAGGTCTGGCTTCTGCCTGGAATTTACAAAACAGGGCCAGACTTTAGATTGAGAATGTACAGAAAACCAGCAGGAGGCATTTTCTGCATTGTGAGTCAACATAGACATTTTAGATTTCTCCTTGAGAGTGAGGCTTTGACCTTTTCACATCTTGTTTATTCACCTGCTGCAGTTATGTGAGAGGCTCCAGGTGTAAATAGAATCCGATGGCAGAACTCTAAGTGTAAGCAAGCATCTTAGAAGGGAGAGATCAAGACCACAAAATACTCAGACTCCTGAGCACAACTACACCTACCTGTAAAACGTGATACTAGAGTAGAATATTCCTGTCCCTCTACATAACTAAAAGCTAGCTAATCACAACAGATGACCCAGGTTCTGGAGCTCCAACGTAGTAGTTTTATTTTCTATTTAAAATCAGCCTGAGTCTCTCCTGTTGGCTTACTATTGCACCATCAGTCCAGGGTCACTGGAAATGCTCTCACAATCACCTAGGTATCTTTGAGACCTTTGAGAATCTCCAGAACAGAATTGTGTCCGGCTGACAAGAGTGATTCATTTTGCTTTTTAGTGTAAAATGAATGAATGAGTCATCTTGTGTTTGTTCCTCCCCTCATACAAGAGATGTCTTTGGTTGGTACCCAGATGAGAGTTTTTCCAGTTCCCTGGTATTTGGGTGAAAAACAAGGGAGGAGGTCTGGAGACTCAAACAGATAAACTAACTGATTTCATTTCATATAGTCATTAGAAAAATAAATGAAGCAGTCATTGTCCCTACCATACAAGAACTTTTGTTTAGGCTAGCAACTGGATAAATGGTTTAATTATGCATCATATGGTGGGTGCAGTAAATACATGTGTGCAAAAATATGGGCTTTATTTGGGCCATTTTCTTTATATTGCTGTGCCTTCTGATGACTACACCTTAACATATATTAATAAACAAAGACATTATTATTTATATATTTTTTTACCTTTCTAAGAATACTTATTTATCTTCTAAAAATTAATCTAGAAAACCTTAAGGGATTTGTTTAAATTGCTTATTAGTATGTGATATAAAATTGAGAGGGCAGTGGCTTAAAAAAATATTAAAATTACACAAATCTGAGATTTAAGGTTTTTTTTTTCTTTGTTTCTTTTGGTAAGCTTAAAAAAGAGAAACAGAACTAAAAATACTCCCCAGTGGCATCAAGTGCAGAATTTTACATCAGCTCTATACCCTGCCCCAATCCTGTTCAGATTCAACCTTTTGGAAGGCCTTATTTAGGTCTGGCCCTAACCTGGAGTCTTGCCTTGCAGAACTAACTAGAATAGATCAGTGTTTTGGGTGAAAAATCCTGTTGCCATTTTGGAGTTGGGACTCACAATTTTCTGAAACCCAAAGCAGAAAAATGGAAAATATGAAATATGTATTGTAGGGTCTTAATTTTTTAATTTTTTATTAAAACCAGTGTTTGCAGAGACATTTCATTTAGCAACTTGTTTTCTGTTCCTGCAGATACAGTAGTTGATTCACAAGTCACAAAATAGTGTATATAAACACAATGAAAATTCATCTAAATTATATTAAACTATTTCTATCTGTATCCCTCCCACCTGTGCATATAGGCAGATTTTATTCTATGCATTTTTTAAAAAAATCAATGACAGCTGAACAGAAAAAATAAAAATGCTGTGTCCTCATTCTAAATCCTTGGAATTATTGAACACTTAGTATCAACTCACAGGGTGTCATTAGAATTAAATCAAATAATGGGTTATCAGAGTGCTCTGTAGCATCCTATTGAGCACATAGTATCTGCTTAATAAACATTGCATTAGTACATGTGCACATGTTGTTTGCCAAATGCAGACTTACTCAGAAATTGCTGCTTTCTGTTTTCTTTGTAAACTTTAAAGAGCCATCAAATAGTATAATAGTTTAAGATAGAGAATGATTGTCTTAATTTGTATCAGAAGTATTTGTGTTGTGACAAGAGTGCTGAATTTAAGGACTCTGCTGTGCCTCATTTTTCTAACTGATGCTAATAATGCTCCGGAGAGGGTCTCTGAAAAATATTTCTTCTCTATATACCAGAGCCTTCTCTACATCATGGCTTCTTATATGCCATGCAGAATTCTCACCATGAACTTTTGATCTGCAGTATTAAAAATATTTGCTTTGTGGCTGTTGAACATGGAAAGGTGTGGATACTCAATATTTCTATGGAGAAAACCTGGGGTTCTTAGTGAAGATGGAGAACATGTAATGTTGAGGTTCTATCTGCGTTCTTTATTATCTCTATGTATTATATGGTTACAAAACTGCTAATTTAAACAAGATGGCATTTATTACCCAGAAAGTTCTGAAAAAATTATCAGGAAATACCTGCTTATTAGGCTGTTAAAGAAAGACTACTTGAAATCACTATTCAAAATTGTAGAACATGGAAGATAATTGTATCTTGAACTTTCCATAAAACTGATATTTTCTTATGGTTAAATTCAGACTGCAATTTACTTCAGTGTGGGCAATACCTCAGTGGTGTTACTGTGACCTTCTGGGTGTATCAGCACACTGTAAAAACTTGTCCTAGTGCAGTTGATGTTAATAACTCACTTGCTTAATAAGCTCTCTTACAGATTTTTTCACTATAGAGTTAGTTTTCTCTTCATCATTAAGTTTCTTTATGCAGCTGATGTGCATAAGCCATCACATATTTTGGCAGCTGTTTTTTTGTGGTTTTTTGTTTGTTTAGTTTTTCTTTACATTTATCTTTCTTTGGTAAATGAAAGCTCTCGTCTTTGTTTACAGGCCAGAAAAACTGAAAAAAATCACAGGCTTTTCCACTTACTGGATGTTTGACAAAGTATTCTTTTGGGGCCAAAACATTGGCATTACTGGTGAGCTTGTTCGAAATTCAGTAACTCAGACTCTATTTCAGATCTCCTGAAAAAAATAATCTGCGTTAACAAGATGTCCAGTTTATTATACACATAAAATTTGAGTAGTACTTTCTAATGCAACATGTTTATTTTGTCTGAAAAATATAAATATGTCTTTTTCATCTGAAAAATATATACAACCCATTTTGTATTATGTAAATGTAGCACTCAGATGTACATGTGTTTATACCCTCAACTTTATACTTTATCATCCATATAAATATCATATATACACTGATATGTGAATATCATGCCACTCTGTTTTCTCAGAGTTAGAGAATACATTAGAAAATGTTTGTGTGTTGACAATTATTTTATTGGATAATTTCATTCACTCTTCTGAGTCAGAACCGGTTTTATTCACTTTCTCATTTTACCTTGAGTCAAATGAAAAATTCTGCTCATAGACTCTTTGTAAATATGTGTGTTTGTGTGTGTTTTCCAGGAACTGTTGACATTTAGGGATGTGGCCATAGAATTCTCTCTGGAGGAGTGGCAATGCCTGGACACTGCACAGCAGAATTTATATAGGAATGTGATGTTAGAGAACTACAGAAACCTGGTCTTCTTGGGTGAGCATCACTTCAATACACAATATAAACTAAAGGTTTCATTTCTAATATAAACTAAAGGTTTCATTTCTCTTCTGTAGAATGTTCTCTGGTTACTTATACTTTCAGATTTCTGTTTTTAAGAAAATCCTGGGGATTTGTCTGTTTAGATAAGAATTTCTTAAAGTTGTTTCATCTTGACCTGAACTTTCCATATTTCTGAGCTAATTTGTGTCCTTCACTTTAGACTAGTGGTAATTTCAGAAGTTTAGTGGTATAAAATTTTTAGACCTTAAAATCTAATTGTCATCACCAATTTTTGATTCAATAGTACCAGGTGAAATTAAGAACCTACAAAATTAAAATATTTCTAAATATTTAAGCATTTCTGCTATAAATTAGTATATTGGGATAAATTTATTAGAATATTCTATTACATCCTCTTTACTGAGCACATTACTAAGTTGGTAATTGGAGAATATGAGCAAGATTCATGTTAGTTATTTTTAATAAAATAGGGATTGCTGCCTGTAAGCCAGACCTCATCACCTGTCTGGAGAAAGCAAAAGAGCCCTGGAAGATGAAGCGACATGCGATGGTGGATGAACCCCCAGGTAGGTGAGAGTGAACACCACAGACGACATGGATGACAGGTCCAAAGTCAAGGAGAAAGCAAGTCTTTAAAGTGATTTGGGAAGCTGTGATCTAAAGGAAATAGTTTCTTGGAAGCCTGAAATTATTTTTAAAATTATACTCTCACATAGGGGCATCTTCTGCTTATACTTATAAAATGTCTTAGAATTCTGTTTCTTCAGTGGTCTTCCTTCAAGTTTATAGTGACAGCCAAAGTACTGTTCATGGTATATAAAAGAGTGCACAATCTGATGCCTTTTTTCTGTTTTTTTGTTTGTTTGTTTGTTTTTTTGTGGACAGATAGATATCTATGTAATTTTGGGATACTCTATGTTAAACTTTTTTTTTTTGAGATGGAGTTTTACTCTTGTTGCCCAACCTGGAGTGCAATGGCACAATCTCGGGTCACTACAACCACTGCCTCCCAAGTTCAAGTGATTCTTCTCCCTCAGCCTTTTGAGTAGCTAGGGTTACAGGTGTGCACCACAATGCCCGGATAATTTTTTGTATTTTTAGTATAGATAGGGTTCGCCATGTTGGCTAGGCTGGTCTCAAACTCCTGACCTCAGGTGATTTGCCCACCTCGGCCTCCCAAACTGCTGGAATTGGAGGCATGAGCCACCGCGCCTGGCCTATTTTTTAAATTCTCTTTTTGCATCACATCTGAAATTCATGAGAATAGTGGTTTCTGTTCCATTGGTTTTTTTTGTTTGTTTATTTTTCTTCACATTTCATTCTGTTTTTATTACTATAGTCTTGAAATATAGTTTAAAATTATAAAGTATGATGTCTTTCTGCACTGTTCTTTTTTCTCAAGATTGCTTTGGCTACTCAAAGTTTATTGTAGTTTCATGTACATTTTAGAATTGTATTTTTCATTACTGTGGAAAAATACACTGAAATTTTGATAGGGAGTTTATTGAATCTAGAGATAAATTTAGATAATATGGCGGTTTCACAATACTTATTATTTCAATAGAAATAAAATATTTTAAAATTTATCTGCGTCCTCTCTAGCTTTCTTCATTGACATATCTTTCACTTAAAAGGTTTATGAGCTCCTTGGTTTAATTTGTTCTAAAATTGATTATTTTATTGCTATTGTAAATAAGATTTATTTTTCCTCTATTTTATTTTTATTTTTTATTTTTATTTTTATTTATTTTATTTATTTATTTATTTATTTATTTTTTTGGGACGGAGTTTCGCTCTTGTTACCCAGGCTGGAGTGCAATGGCGCCATCTCGGCTCACCGCAACCTCCGCCTCCTGGGTTCAGGCAATTCTCCTGCCTCAATCTCCTGAGTAGCTGGGATTACAGGCACGCGCCACCATGCCCAGCTAATTTTTTGTAGTTTTAGTAGAGACGAGGTTTCACCGTGTTGACCAGGATGGTCTCGATCTCCTGACCTCGTGATCCACCCGCCTCGGCCTCCCAAAGTGCTGGGATTACAGGCGTGAGCCACCGCGCCCGGCTTTTCCTCTATTTTATAAGATAGTTTGTTTTCAGTGTATGGAGTAATAACTTATTTTGCCAATTAATATATATAATTAATATATATTAATATATTAATATATCAATCATGTATTAAAACCTGTTTAAACTAATGAATACATATATATATATATGTATGATTACATGATCAACAAAAAGAAACTTCTGTTTTACTTATTGGTCTTCAATTTCAATGACCTAATTATTATTATTATTTTTTTTACTATTTGTTCTTCACATACTTTCAGTGCTATGTTAAAATAGAATTATTGACAATAAGAAACAATAGTTTTGCATTGATGTCTGTAAATTTGAAGGAACAAACCCTTCTTCAGATTTTTATAAACTAGTTTAAGAAAGTAAAGCCTATTTTGTTGGGCCCCCAGTGTGATAGAATGCTCTCTGGGTTTGTAGTGTAGCTTGATCTTATAGCTGCTGAGTTTGCACGAGGGTCCACTTTTAGTTTAATTTTGGTACAGAGTGAGTATCCTTCAGGACTTTGCAGGGCCGACCCAAAGGCTGGTTTCTGTAGTCAGGTCTGCATATAGTGGGCTTTATATCAGGATGTAGATAAGGATGGGTTTTACTGAGTACAAGAAAGGATTTTTTCAGGTCACTTTGGGTTTTTACATAGGCAGAACTGGCCATCAGCTGTGGCTCAGGAAGCTGGAACTGCATCATGGAACTGCTTCAGGGAGCACAGTAAAGGCCAAGGTCTGCAGGGCTGCTAAATGGCTGTAAAGAAGAGTCTTTTTCCAGGCCTCTGGAAGGGCAGGACCTCCCCGAGACTGTGGCTGGAAAGAGTTTGGGATGGTTACAGAGTAAGTTTAAAATTCTCAGTGGAATCAAGTTAGGTGAAACATTTTCTTGTCTGTAGCCAAAAAGAGTAGTCCTGTAGTTTGCCACCTAAATGAGGGCCTGCCTTCTGAAAAGGAGTACCTTTGATCTTGGGCCTTAGCAGAGTTTCACACCTCCCTTCCTGGATCTCAGAGCTCTCTTAAAGGCACTTATTTTTGAGATGAGGTCTTGCTACATAACCCAGGCAAGTCTTAATATTTTGACCAGAAGCAATTCTCCAACTTTAATGTACGATGTAGCTGTCATTACAGGTGTAAACCTGCTTCTTTCATAAAGGCATTTTTTGTCAGGAATGGCTTATAAATTTTCTTCCTGTCAGAGGATAAGCAAATAGGGCAACTTCTACCTTTTTATCTTATTAATGTTACTCTGCAAATGTTTACTTTCTATTTTCTACTTCAAATTTGTCTGTAATTTTCGATTCAGAAATCAAGGGCAATATACTAGAATTTAAATGTTGGGCCTGAATTAAATTAGATAATTAGTATGCAGGCAGGCAAAAAGGAATTACAGAATTTTAAACTGCTTTTGTCAGCCTATATCTAAAAAACAACATAATTTACTCCCCAAATATTTGTTTTCTTTGTAAAGCTCTTACCATATTCTGCAAAATATGTATATAATTTAGTAATGTAAGGCTATTCTTTGCTTCTAAACTGATCACAGTAGTTTTATTTTGTGTAAAAATAGCATATATTTAAAACATAAAAATTGACATGTTTCTTTTAAATGCTTATCCATTAAAAGTTTCTCATTAGCATCACCTATTTATGATTGTACTGCATTTTCCCTGAAATTTTATTCCCATACAGTATATGCCAGTACTTTAAAATGCCTGCCTTCCATAAACGCACAGTTACAGTCAAACTTTGCAGTTACCTAGACAAATTATTTTTATTTATTTATTTATTTTGAGTTGGAGTTGCCCAGGCTGGAGTGCAATGCCGAGATCTAGGCTGACCACAACTTCTGCCTCCTGAGTAGCTGGAATTACAGGCATGCATCACCACACCTGGCTAATTTTGTATTTTTACTGGAGATGGGTTTTCTCCATGTTGGTCGGGCTGGTGTCAAACTCCCAACCTCAGGTGATCCACCCACCTTGGCCTCCCAAAGTGCTGGGATTACAGGCATGAGCCACTGTGCCAGGTCTGTTTGTTAACGTACATTAATGTTGCCAACTAGATTTTATGAGTAAACATTTCTGTTATTAATTGTCTTGCAGTTCTATATTAGTGTGTTTTTTTAGTGTAGGTTTCTTAACATAAGTTTATTGTGTCTATTGGTTTTACTTTTGTATTATAATTTTAGACAATTTGCAATTGTTTGTATACTTTAAGTTAATGTGGGGTTTAACTAAAAGGTAAATGAGCCATATGTCTATCACAATCACATTATATATATGTGTGTGTTTATATCTACAGATATGACTCCAATTTTGGTTATACCTTATCTTGTATATATTTTTTCTTAGCTCATTTTCATTGTTTTCTTGTTGAGATGGAGTTTTGCTCTTGTTGCTGAGGCTGGAGTGCAATGCGCACACTCTGGGCTCACTGCAGCCTCCACCTCCTGCGTTCAAGTGATTGTCTTGCCTCAGCCTCTCAAGTAGTTGGGATTACAGGAATGTGTCACCACGCCTCGCTAATTTTTTATTTTTATTTTTAGTAGAGATGGGGTTGCTCCATGTTGATCAGGCTGCTCTCAGACTCCTGACCTCAGGTGTTCTGCCCACCTCTGTCTCCTAAAGTGCTGGGATTACAGGCATGAGCCACCTTGCCCAGTTTCTTAGCTCATTTTTAGTGTTGGTTTTATCTTGTCTAAGTGAGTAGCCTTGGAAATAGTCTTATTTTCACCGTGTGTTTAATGATGAATATGTACTTCCTTTGTGTACGAAAAATAAATATTCATCATTATCTTTTGTAATTTAAAGATAATTTTTAAAAAGATATATAATTCTGTATTTTTTCCAGTTTTTTAAAAATACATAACATATAATTTACCTTCTTTTTTTTTTTTTTTTGAAAGGTCTCACATATTTATTACTGAACCCAGGCAACAAAAACCTTTTCTTTTTTTTTTTTTAACATGAATAATGGAAGCACTGTGGGTTGTACTAACTAATGCCTTCATAACAGATACAGAAAGAAAACTGTTCAAACTTCTCCAGATAGCAGTGACATTTTTCAGCTTGATTTGGTAACATGATTGTGACCTTCAGACAGCATAAATACATGTGCCATTGCATGTGTAATTTCTTACAGACCAAGCTTGGTTCTTCTCCAATGTCTCCTTTTGGAGTTATACCTGATTTTATTACCAGTTTTCATCCGAATCCACTGGGGAATGGGACGATTTTGCTTTTGTTTCTTGGCCAGGAATCGCTTAATCGTGAAAGTCTTGTGAGAAGACATGGCGAGAAACGGAGTAAAGCACACACCACGATGGCGGAGAAAGGAAGAGGGGAGAATTTACCTTCTTAAATATATTTAAATGTACATGTTAGGGCAAGGCATTGTGGTGGATCACATCTGTAACACCAGGATTTTCAGAGGCCAGAACAGGAGGATTGCTTGAGACCAAAAGTTTGAGACCAGCCTGGGCAAAATATGGAGACACCCTCTCTACA